AATCTGACGTAATGATTGCTGGTGCTGTCCAGTATTTCAGTATTTTGAAATAGAATTTCGTGTCCAGTTTGTTTTAGGGCATGTTCAGCTACTGCAGATTTTTCTGGTTGTTTTAGTCTGCAGTGTCTCTCATGTTCTTTGATTCTGGTGTGGATGCTTCATTTTGTGGTTCCAAATGTAATTTGTTACGATTGCGTTCATTTTTAAATATGAATTGGGACTGTAGGATAGCCATTTTTCCAGTACCCCCTCATTTCATAGTATATAAACACTTTTGGACTAGTTTTCAAACCTCATAACAATCTGGTCCCTGCACATCTTCTTCCAAGACTTTATTTATTTATTTATTTATTTATTCTCATGTTCTTTGATTCTGGTGTGGATGCTTCATTTTGTGGTTCCAAATGTGATTTGTTACGATTGCGTTCATATTTTTAAATATGAACTGGGACTGTAGAATAGCCATTTTTCCAGTACCTCCTCACTTCATAGTATATAAACACTTTTGGACTAGTTTTCAAGCCTCATAACAATCTGGTCCCTGCACATCTTCTTCCAAGACTTCCCTGTTTCCTTCCCTGGGGGACACTTCCTGGAGGTGAGCCACTTTTATAGACAGTTTCCTAATTATATAGAAAACAAATTTCTCTCTTTGCTCAACAATTAATTTTTAAAACATTCTTTCTATATAAGCCACTGCACAGATCCTTTTGAATGTTGCAGTTTTTGTCAGTTAGGGCCATCTCTATGCGGTTATTTTAAGAGCAAAAATGACGAGCACTCAGTATGTCCTTTTAGGACCACCCTTCAAAGGAAATGCTCCTGTTGGAGAAATAAAAAAATTCTGCATCTATTCATCTGAAACTAGACAGCCTTACTTTCTTCAGAAGAGGGAGTTCTACCTACAAATCTCTTCTAATACTTCAAAAATAATTTAAAAACATGGTTTTGGCCCTTCTATTAAGGTACAGTATCTATATATTTATACCTTTCTATCTGCATAAAAAAGACTAAAGTCTATATCAACAGATGCGCGCGCGCACACACACACATGCACGCACGTACATGCACGTGCATGCACGCACACACACACAAACACACACACACACACAAGGCATTTAGGACAAAAGCCTTCCATGTATTTTGCAATTTGGTAGACATATGGGTTTACTCTACCTGACGATTTCAACCAGTCCTGACAAAGAATACTTTGGTTCATATTCTTTTATAGTTCTGCATTTCCTGTGGTAATTAATGGGAGCTACAAACTAAAACAGGCTGAATCCTGTGATCTGTGCACACATCTAGTTTAAAGTAACCTGCCCTCTTGCTGACAATTCCCATTTTATAGCCAAACTGCTTTATGCATTTGATTTTGCCCATAGGCTACAATGCTAAATATAGATATTGCAAAGTACTGTAAAGTCCAATAAAATAACTGGAATCACATGTTAATAGCAATGTTTGGGACTGATCGCTGTCACCCACTGGAATTACTTATAAAGAACCAGACAGGAAAAGTCTATCTCGAATTTAGAATTTTTAAACAAATAATGTGGTTATTCTGAATGACAGTCTTGTTTATTAAAGAAATCTACATCAAAACTAAGGTACATCAAAAGCCTACATCAAAGCAAATACTGGATCATGTAAAATCTGCTCAGAAAGTAGAGAAGCTTGCTGGATAGATCCCTGGTTTAGGTCTCTGGCTGTAGAGCTAGCTAGAGGTTGGGAATTCACTTCCCCCTGTGAGAGGGGCAGGACTCAATGATCCATAGGGTCCCATCCAGCTCTGCAGTTCTAAGTTATCATCATCCTCACCATCAGTTTCAATATGGCAAAATTAAGCACTAGCATAATTTCCCCATGAGAAAAATAAAATAATAATTGAGTGTTCTCAGGTCAGTTCTGACATATGGTGACCCTTGTCAGGGTTTTCTAGGTAGAGAGAATTTAGAAATAGTTTATCATTCCCTTTTTCTGGAGGTTTCTGGGACTGTCTAGATGGCCCAAGGCCATAGGGGCTTCCTCCACTCCCAGGAGGCACCATGGGGAATCAAACTCCCAAACTCTGGCTTTGCAGCCAGATACCCTAACCAGTGAGCAATCCAGCCAGCTCAGAAAATAAAATACATACTAAATATTGCTTTTGCTAAAAGAACAGCAGCAGGAGGAAGAATATTTGTTGGACATCTTTTTTTTTAAAAAAAAGAAAGACTTGAGACTTCTGACAACCTTCAAATACACCAAATCCAAAACAAGGATAAAATTAATGTATCCATAACACTACACTTGGGTGTTGGAGTTCCTCATAAAGAATAAATCAGGGCCTTGTTTTGTTTGTTTGTTTTTCAGTACAACAACTAAAAACAACCCTTGAGTTCTGTGCCTTCAGGTTTAGTAGAATCTTAGCTCTTGACTGACCAATGTTAAAATCTTGATACCAGTTCCATCTCTTCCATATGAAACTGCCCACAAGCCTGCTGATTTCCTATACTTGAAGGTGCTTATCCTTTAAAAAACAACAAAACAAAAACAAAATGGCAATCACATCTATCACTTGTTTGGCAATAAGCAGAAGAACTAATTACACCCCCGCTGCCCTCATAAGTAGATGAACAACGCTATCAACAATTTTCTAACAGGCTTATGCGAGTTCAGTCCCATCAGAACAATCTGTACGGCATTAAATTGGGTGCCTCATTTTTCATCCAGATAGGATCTGCTATTGCATGTGAATGCCCCTTGCTGGTCTGGAGTGACTGTGTCAAATAGTTTATAACAGGATCCAATTATCTCAACTGTATAATATTTTCGCCAGTCCAGATTTTGTTTGAGGATATTTCTAGATGAACCTACAAATTTAAAGGGGTGCTCAGAGGACAATGGCTTATATTTATAAATCTCCAGTTTACACACTGCTACATTTTTTTAACCAGAGAAAGGAGAAAAGAGCACAGTAGAAACCTATGAAAATTTGTGATCTTTCCTGTCACCAAACACCCTTTCATTGATCAATTTTTGCCATGAAAAGTATTTTTTTAAAAGAGGAAATGGGGTGGGGTGGGGTGGGGTGGCTGAGGATGGATCAGAAGTGAGAGAGGTTACTTTTTTGGACTACAGCTCCCAGAATCCCCTGATAATTACCCATATGCCCCAGCCAACACACAAGCCACTCGGGCACTCCCTGTAAACAGATTCCTATGGACACCTACATGGTTCAGAATTGTCTTCCCAGTGGCTTCTATTGCCAGCTGAGCAAGAATTGAGTGGTACTCATTTTATTGTTAACCAGGATTATCCCCTACCGGAGGGAGTTCCGGACCAAGTGCCTGTTGCTACTTTGCCCTTTACTAGGATACAATACATATCCCTGAGGAATGTGAAGGCAATGCACATGTTGCCTGGGGGACTGTTTGATGTAGCATGAATTGGACATTTAGTCTAAGTCTTTACTATGTTCCTGTAAGTACATTAACTTTCCATTCTTCCATCCTCCTCATCTCTTCTTCTCATTTTGACTCTCAGGTTCTGCATGTGGACGTTCCATTTGGCTAATAAAGAGAGTTGCATTTAGATTGTTGTAGTACAATTGTTGTTTTCTGTCATAGGAGATTGAAGTGCTTTTGAATTCCACCAGACTTTTTGGAAATATGTATTTCGTGCACAAGTAAAATGCATTGTGTATAAATAAAAGACCATTTTACAAACACACACACCTTCTTGCCCTTAGGGTGGCTACCTTCTCCATAATGCAGACATCAAATGAACTGAGTAATGCAGACATCAAATTATACTGCACTGGGGTGTATTCCTCCTTATATAAGTGGCAAGCAGCTTATTACAAAGATTATACAATACACCACAACTGCAGTTTATGGTAGCAGAAACACTACCCTGACTTTCTTGCTACTGTACTGGTGCCAACTTGGCTCACCCTGTGCACTGTGACTGACTGGGTAGGTTCCCTGGTGTATTGTTACTTCTTTCCAACATCCACACCAAGAAGGCAGAGTGACATATTGAGATCAAATTTCATCAGGGCCCTTAGTCACTATTTGGACTGAGAATGTACACCTCTATAAAATCTATACCATCTGCATCAAAACCAAATCCAGTTCTTCCTTTCACCCTTCATGTGCCTGGTTCCACTGCTATTGTTTGATCAATTGATTGATTAATCAATCAATCCACCTTATATTGTGTACTTTTTCTGTCACCCTCCCAAGAGAGGCTGGCTTCACCCATTATCAGCTTCTGGCAGGTATCCAAAACTATATTGTGTACTGCAGCCTCTGGTGTATATTAATGGTTCCAGAAATGGTTTCTAGAGTTTGCTCTTGAAGGCTTGTTGTGGGGTTTTTGGGCTGTTTGGCCATGTTCTTCAGGTTTTTCTTTTTCCTAAGATTTCGCCAGTCTCCTAACATTTCACCACAGAGACTGGTGAAACATTAGGAAGGAAAAAAACCCTCCAGAGCATGGCCAAGCAGCCTGAAAAACCCACAACAACCATCAGTTTCTAGAGTTGTTGATCTATTTTAATGAATATTGGCTTAACAATAATAATAATAATAATAATAATAATAATAATAATAATAATAATAATAATAATAATAATAATAATAATAATAATAATAATAATAATAATAATAGTTGTTGTTGTTGTTGTTGTTATTATTATTATTATTATTATTATTATTATTTACCATTTGTTAAAATCTGTTTGTAAGAACTGTTTTTATCTTTGTGGCTGTACATCACTTTGGGGACTTTCGTGGTCTGAATAATCCATCCATCCAGCCATCCAGCCATCCAGCCATCCATCATACGTACGTACGTATGTACGTACGTACATACATACATTTAACAGATATATGTGCATTTTTGTGACCTTTTTTAATCAATAGGAATTGTTTGGTAGCATTCCCCTGCTGTGTTTAAGCACAGTTCACACATTGTTCTGTGTATATTTTTCACATGTGCGTTTTTTTTTTTTCCAGACGTGTCTGCAGCCATGGAGCAGAAATTGCACTTGACCCATGGATGCCCCAGGAACTGTGGTTCATGTGAAGATGCCATAAAAGCCCACTGGAGTGCATTCTTTGGAGAGCCAAGGTTTGGGCAATGAGTTCCATTGCCTGTTCAATGTACTGTACTGTAGATAGCACAACCATGTGTGAAACAATATCCTGCTCTGTACATCTCTTGCAGTCTTCCCAGAGGAATTTCACAGGGGCCCATGTGATCAGTGGATGTTTCAGCTTATTGCTTCCTTGATGCCAAACTTTACTATCAGTACATCCCTAATCATTTACTTAGCCGGGTTAAGAAAATTGCAGTCTGCAGTTCAGAGCCTGATAATAATGTCATAAATCTCAACAAAATCAGATTCTAGATCCTCCTCCTCTTTTTTTTTTTTATGTGCCACATCAAGGAGAATTGGGGCTGGGGGGGGAAAGAGTTGCCAGAAGCCCTTTCATGCACACCACCTTGTCTGTCTCCATGCGAGTTTGATGAAATTTCTCTTGTGACAACTCCACCTCAGGAGGAGGCTGTGCGAGTAAGGATCCGTGAAGTCAGACCGCCCAGGGGAATGTGGACAAATAATCAAAGGAATGATAGAAAGCAAGAAGGAGCCGGGGAAAAGTTTCTTCTGAACAACTACCGCCTGTAATTAGTTAATCAGCGTAATTGTTTGTAATTAGACTCTAGAGGCACATCACAGGCCTGCCTAACTCTTCAGAAGTGGGAGGAGGGGAAAAGAAGGGGGAAGGGAGAGAAAAAGCTTCTCCTCCCATGTGAAGGACAATCATAACCCTCTGAGCTGTCAAGGAGGCTTCTGGTCTAATTGGAACCATATATTGCTGGAATGGGAGGCAAGATGATTTGTGAAAAAGACACCCTCAGCATGTAATTTTCTATGTAACAAATCTCAAAAGATGGATGCTCTTTGATCTTGATTCTTTTGTTATTGCTGTTCACACTGGGAAGGGTGCTTTAATGAAACAATCTCAGGGTAATTTATCGCCTTTGAAGTCCTGAAAATGTGCTGCCAACCCCATTTCTGCTTTAGTGGAGGCTGCAGCAGGCAGTCGCTCCGGGTTGCTTAATGGAGCTCCAAAACTGGAACATCAAGACATCAAAGGTGAAGGTGGCATGTGATTAATAAACTAAACTATTCATTTGTTTCTGCCTCAGAGGCAATCTGACTCGTTATTGTCCCTGGCTAATTTACACTTTATGAGTACTTGCTGTTATGACTTATGTTGGGCCAAGGAACATTTATGCTTATTTACATGATGTGGGCAGCCTCTGCAGATTGAGATATAGGCATCTACAGTCAGAAGTGGCCTCACAATCCTGGTATGTGTGTGCAGCACTTCCAAACATTTCAGACACTTGAATTTCAGGCTCTCTCTCTCTCTCTCTCTCTCTCTCTCTCTCTCTCTCTCTCTCTCTCTCTCTGTGTGTGTGTGTGTGTGAAGCATCTCTTTGAGTTACATATTTATTTCAGTTGGATACCACTTCAAGTCCCATGGCTCAATCTTATGGAACCCTCGGACTGTAGTTTGGTGATTTACTTAGACCGATGTGCTAGAGAACTCTATTCTACTCCCCTAAACTACAACAGAGAATTATAGAGATATTCTGTACACTCCAAAGTTATGGGAGTCTGCTTCCAATTTAACCACCTTAGTTTCATCCTATGGAATTGTGGATCTGTAGTTTGGTGAGGGATTAAGAATCCCCTGTCCTAGAGCTCTCATATAACTTCCTGAACTACAGTGGTGCCTCGCTAGATGATGATAATCCATTCCATTGAAATCGCTGTTTAGCGAAATCATTGTCTAGCAAAAAGCATTTCCCCATTGGAATGCATTAAACCTGTTTAATGTGTTCCAAGGGAAAGAATCGTCGTTCTCTAGTGAAGATTGGCCATAGGAAAGCTGCTTTGCGAACCGCCGATCAGCTGTTTAAATTGCTGTCTTGCGAAGATTAGGTCCCGAAAACACCCATTTTGCGAGCGCGGAGGGAGCTGTCAAAATCGTTGTCTAGCGAAAATTGGTTTGCGAAGCAGGGACCAAACATTGTCCAGCGAAATTCCCCCATAGGAATTACTGTTTTGTGAATCACTATAGCGATTGCAAAAAGGCAATATCTAGCGAAAAAACTGTCATGCGGGGCAACTGTCTAGCGAGGCACCACTGTATAGCAGAAGCAAATGGAGTGAAGCAGACAATGGCAGTAAAAAGGCATATCTTGTGCCTGTTGTCTCACTGACAACAACTAGTCTGTATCCATAGTGGTCATCCTTTAAGCTCAAACTCATCCACAACTTAAATAACAGTACATATTTTTTTAAAAAAAGTGGCAGGCCGTTTTCTTTTGGGGGATAGCATCAATGTCCTTAAACCTCCTCACCAAAATTCGATTGTTACTCTCAACTAGAGCAAACTCACTGAATCAACAGAACTTAATTGTTCTCATTAATTCAACAGTTCTATTCTAATTAGGACTAAGAGTTTGATTTTGGCTTTTTCATATTGGAAGCCTACAGGTGCCAAGATCCTGATGTTCAGTGTATACCGAGTTCCAGTTTCAAAACTGTAATCAGGGATATGCACACCTATAAAAGTCCATAGGCTTCCTTTCCATATCCATGTCATCCACACCTGGCTACACTGTTGTTTTTTGATTGGATGAAATCCCTCCCTTTCTCCCTTTCTTTAAAAAGCAGTACATATCTGTGCACATATTTTCAGTTGTTCACTTGTACAGAGAGACAGAATGGTTTCCTATAAGCAAAGGTGTCAGAGAAGAGTGCATTTTAGCCCCTTACCTGTTCAATTTGTATTCAGAAGATGTCATGTGGACTAGATTCAGATGAAAGAGTGAAAACTGATGGAAAAACATGAATAATCCATGATATGTAGATGGCACAGTGTTAATGGCATAAAACAGCAACAATTTGAAATGCCTTTAGTAAAAGTGAAAGAAGAAAGTGCCAAAACAGGACTGCAGTTGAACCTTAAGAAGACAAAAATCATGACTACAGAAGAACTACAGAATTTTAATTATGACAATGGAGAAACTGAAATTGTTAAAGATTTTGTGTACCTTGGTTCAATCTTCAATCCCAAGAGAGGCTACAGCCAAGAAATCAGGAGACTGAAACAGGCAGCAATGAAGGAATTTCTAAGATCATCACGTGTAAGGATGAAGGCTAAGATCAGGATCATCACATTATTGCATCTCCAATCACTATATACAGGTGTGAAAGCTCAGTAGTAAAGAAACCTGACAAGAAGATTTTTCATTTGTTTGAAACGTCATGGTGGAGGAGAGATTTGAAGATACCTGGACTAACAGACAAACAAGTGAGTCCTAGAGCAAATTAAGCCTAAATCATCTCTGGAGGCAGAAATAATGAAACTGAGGCTGCCCTACATCATGAGAAGGCAAGATTCTCTAAAGAAGACAATAATTCTTGGAAAGGTTGAAGACAGCAAGGAAAAAGGAAGGTCAAATAAGAGATGGATTGATTCTGTATAGGAAGCCACAAGCTTGAGTTCACAAAAGTTAAGAAATGCTACTGAGGACAGGACATTTTGGATATCACTCATTAATAGGGTCGTGATAAGTAGACATGGTCTAAGATGGATTGATTCTGTATAGGAAGCCACAAGCTTGAGTTCACAAAAGTTGAGAAATGCTACTGAGGACAGGACATTTTGGATATCACTCATTAATAGGGTTGGAAGTGATATGATGGCACATAAAAACAACTTACTTTTCAAATGCAGTAAGACCACAGTATCCGTGGAGGATCGGTTCCAAAGCCCCCCCTCCGGAGGATGCCAGAAATAGCAGATAAGCAAAGCACTGACTTTCAGTTTCTTTGGTGTCTGTGCGTGGTTGACCTTTTCAAATGCAGTAAGACCACAGTATCCTTGGAGGATCGGTTCCAAAGCCCCCCCTCCCGAGGATGCCAGAAATAGCAAATAAGCAAAGCATTGACTTTTAGTTTCTTTGGTGTCTGTGCATGGTTGAGAGGGAGCTCTGGCCCAGTCTTGACAAAGGAGACTGCTCTCCTGTTTGCAAGGGAGGCTTCCCTGAATCTAGCAACTGCTACCCTCTACTGCCGCCCAGTCTTGACAAAGGAGACTGCTCTCCAGTTTGCAAGGAAGGCGTCCCTGAATCTAGCAACTGATACCCTCTACTGCCCTCCACAACAAATACGTTTCTTTCATTTCACCAGAAGCTGTTTCCTTCAGGTATGTCAGGACACAAGTGCATTGCCCTTAAGCCATATATAGTAGTCTCTGGTTCCATTTAGTGGTCAGTTCTGCTAATTTTGTTGTTGTTGTTTAGTCGTTTAGTCATGTCCGACTCTTCGTGACCCCATGGACCAGAGCACACCAGGCCCTCTTGTCTTCCACTGCCTCCCAGAGTTGGGTCAAAGTCATGTTGGTAGCTTCAGTGACACTGTCCAACCATCTCATCCTCTGTCGTCCCCTCCTCCTCCTGCCTTCACACTTTCCCAACATCAGGGTCTTTTCCAGGGAGTCTTCTCTTCTCATGAGATGGCCAAAGTCTTGGAGCCTCAACTTCAGGATCTGTCCTTCCAGTGAGCACTCAGGGCTGACTTCCTTCAAAATGGGTAGGTTTGTTCTCCTTGCAGTCCAGGGGACTCTCAAGAGTCGCCTCCAGCACCACAATTTAAAAGCATCAATTCTTAGGCAGCCAGCCTTCTGTATGGTCCAGCTTTTCATTTCCATACATTGCTACTGGAAAAACCATAGCCTTGACTATGAGGACCTTTGTCGGCAAGGTGATGTCTCTGCTTTTTAAGATGCTGTCTAGGTTTGTCATCACTTCCTCCCAAGAAGCAGCCGTCTTTTAATTTCGTGGCTGCTGTCACCATCTGCAGTGATCATGGAGCCCAAGAAAGTAAAATCTGGCACTGCCTCCATATCTTCCCCTTCTATTTCCCAGGAGGTGATGGGACCAGTGGCCATGATCTTAGTTTTTTTGATGTCGAGCTTCAGGCCATTTTTTTTTTTTTTTGCACTCTCCTCTTTCACACTCATTAAGAGGTTCTTTAATTCCTCCTCACTTTCTGCCATCGGAGTGGTATCATCTGCATATTGGAGGTTGTTGATATTTCTTCCGGCAATCTTAATTCCAGCTTGGGATTCCTCCAGTCCAGCCTTTCACATGATGTATTCTGCATATAAGTTAAATAAGCCAGGGGACAATATACAGCCTTGTCGTACTCCTTTCCCAATTTTGAACCAATCAGTTGTTTCACATCCAGTGTTGCTTCCTGTCCTACATATAGATTTCTTAGGAGATGGGGAAGGTGGTCAGGCACTCCCATTTCTTTAAGTCCTGCTAATACACTTTGGGAATGTGTATTTCTGGATTTTG